ATGATCCTCTATTACCAACATTTCATCCCTGATTGTTCTGCGAAGGCCAAGCCCTTGTTCAGGTTACTTTCGGGACGACAGGCAATTCCCCATGGGAGGAAAGGAAAGAAGCTCAGGAAGCAACCCTCTGCCAAACCATCTCTGACACCAAGTGACTGGACATCAGCATGTCGCACATCATTTCAAACGCTCAAGATGGAACTAGTTAATGTTGTCACCCTGGCTCATCCCAACTTTAGTGAGCCTTTCATCCTGGCGGTTGATGCCTCCTTTGATGGCATCGGGGCAGTACTCTCACAGGTTTCTCCTGGCGAGACAGTGGCTCGACCTGTTGCCTTTGCCAGCAAGACATTGTCACGGTCTCAGATGAACTACCCAGCGCACAGACTAGAGTTCTTGGCGCTTAAATGGGCCGTGTGTGACAAGTTCAGCCACTGGCTGAAAGGAAGGCACTTCACTGCTTGGACAGACAATAACCCCTTGTCCTACATCTTGACAAAGCCACGTTTAGATGCTTGTGAGCAGAGATGGGTGGCGAAGCTCGCGGCATATGATTTTGATCTAAAGTATGTGCCAGGGGTTAGAAATACAGTTGCTGATGCTTTGAGCCGTGAACCATTTGTCGAGTCATGTATTGGTCATCGTTTGCTGAAAGAACCTTATGTTGCCCTGCTAGATGAGGTCAACGGGGTTGTGAGAGGTACTGTGCAGGATGCTTTTCGGCTGACTAACAACTGCCACATTGTTCAAGACACAGAGCCAGACTCACCAGACTCTGTTTCTGAGTGCGACCTTCAGAGCGAGAGGGGTTCGATCGATGCTGATGAGGTGTCAGCTGTGCTGAGTGCGCAGTGTGACCATGGTTTGACCAATGTCAACCCACCTTTATCACAGCTCCCTGAGGTGGACCCGGTCGTTCCTCTTCCCCAAAGCCAGCTCTCGAGCCTTCAGCAACAAGATCAGGCAATAAACAGAGTCCTTTTCTATGTGCGAAGAAAAAGGAAGGCTACGAGGCGAGAAGCAGCTTCAGAACCAGGTGGTGTTGGTGGACTTCTCAGGCAGTGGAAGAAGCTTAAAGTACAGAACGGCATCCTGTACAGGGTGATGAGGCATCACCGCTTGAGTAGAAAGATTTTTCAGTTTGTTGTTCCTGATAGCCTGAAGGTTCAAGTCCTCCTCAGCCTTCATGATAATGCAGGCCATCAGGGCCAGGCACGAACACTTTCCCTCGCCCGTGAGAGGTTTTTCTGGGTCGGGATGGAGAGAGACATAACCAACCATGTTCGACAGTGTGAGAGATGTGTGGTTGGAAAAACACCTGAACCTCATGCCTGTGCACCACTAGAGAACATCCAGACGTCAGAGCCGATGGAGCTAGTGTGCATAGACTTTTGGACTGCTGAGCTCAGCGATAATAAGAAAGTGGATGTCCTGGTCATAACCGATCATTTCTCCAAGATGGCACATGCCTTCCCCTGCCGAAACCAGTCTGCAAAACATGTCGCACGCAGGTTGTGGGATGATTTCTTTTGTGTTTATGGCTTTCCCAAGAGGATTCATTCGGATCAGGGATCAAACTTTGAGAGCAGACTGTTGAAGGACCTCTTAGAGATGGCAGGTGTGCAGAAATCGCATACTACGCCATATCATCCTATGGGCAATGGGGTCACTGAACGGTTCAACAGGACACTTGGGAATATGCTGAGGACTCTCCCTTCTACAGCCAAGGCTAGGTGGCCTCAGATGTTACGCACTCTCACGTTCTGCTACAATTGCACAGTGCATGAGACGACTGGTTTGGCCCCCTTTTATGTCATGTTTGGGCGAGTCCCACGCCTCCCTGTTGACATGATGTTCCAACATGTGCTGCAAAATGATGATGTGATCAGCCACCATGAGTTTGTCTCACGGTTGCGGAAAGACCTGTTTGATGCCTCACAGATTGCCCAGAACCACGCTTTTCACGAGCAAGCGCGCCATGCCAGACTCTACAACCGCAAAGTCAAAGGCTCACCTCTGGCTGTAGGTGATAGAGTGTTGTTGGCCAATCGTGGTGAAAGGGGAAAAAGAAAGTTAGCCGACAAGTGGGATCCCACGCCTTATGATGTTGTGTCAGTTAGGTCTGGGATCAATGTGTACAGGATAAGAGAGAGCCACACAGGCAAGGAAAGAGTTGTACACAGGAACCTCCTTCTCCCTGTTAACTTCCTGGGCTTAGGTGTGGAAGGGAGTCTGGCCTCCCGTGCTGACTTGGACGGAGGGAACCCGAACAGTGGAGATGACCAAGGGTCTGTGAGGTCAACACAGATGGATCATCATGACAGGACACTGGACTGGCTGCTGAAGATACAGGGTCTCGCTAATGAGCCGGTGGAAGTTGAAGGTTCCCTCGACGTGGGACACCATTCTCTCTGCGTTGTGGACCCCAGCAGTGGCTCTATCGCAGCGGAGGACCCACCCCCTGAAGTTAATGCTGAAGTGTTTGAAAACTCCATTAGTGAATTCCCCTTGCCTGCTCCCGTGATCAGTGATGCTGCTCTCCGTCAAGGCTCTGAACCTGTTGCCGTGGCTCCTGTGGTTCCCATGGCTGATGTTGACTTAGATCTTGCTATTTGCACACAGCCTCAGACTATTCAGGCGGGCATGGATGGGCTAGCTATCACTAGGTATGGGAGAAGTGTTAGGCCTCCCAAGAGACTGATTTGTGAGATGGCAGCGCAGAAAGTTGAGGAAACTTCTTCTGTTTCAGGGTCAGTTTTTGCATTTCTGACTAGTATGTTTTAGCTCTGAGGGAATTGACTTGGTTTCATGTATCTTTCGACTTATTTTTTTTGTGTGGTCCAGGATGTGATTTGGAGTATTATTTCGGGTGCTCTTATATGTGATGTTAAGGAGGTGTAGATGGCATCTTCTCTAGTCTGTTGAAGGTATTGGGCTTGGTACCACCCAATGTCTCGACACTTTTATATAAAAGGATTCTGTATCGACAATGATTAATGTTAGTGTATCGATTTTACCCCGAAGCACCTGCTGTTCATAGTTCTTTTGTTTCTGGCCCTTGATACTCCCTTGAACTGGTTTGGAGTTTAACAGAATTTAAGGGGGGTGTATGTAACGATGTAAAAGAATGGATATGGTTTTGTTGTTGTTAAATTCCTGTTAAACTTGGGATCGCAACCATGGGTTTATTTTGGAACTTTTATTTTGAAAATCCGCAGCGGAAGTCTGCTACTGGTAAACGGGCTACCCCCTAAGCCTATCGTTAGTAGCAATGAAGCTTTCGCTGTGGTAAGTTCCTCTCCGTCCGCTCTCACAGAGCATGAGTTTAAAACATATTTGAAAATCCTCATTGAAGCTAATATGACAGTGCACTAACTGCATGAACTGCCCATACGGTAGTACTTGAGTAGATTTCAGGTTTATGACCGTGTTTTGCAGTTAATAGATTAGACGGTAAGAAAAATGGACACGTGGAGCTAGCGGCTAACAGCTAGAGGAGGCTGTCGTGTCTAATAATTTTGAAACTTCTCTCAATAGTTTGGGCGGAATCCTGTTGCTGAAACCCATGGTTATTCATGTCCCATGTTATTGCAGGTATGTGTACTTTGAAACATGTATATGGTTGAGCTGCAGGCTAATTCTGTTTAAGACATATTGCTTATTAAGTTTGCCCAGTAGATGGCAGCATTGTTCCATTTACTATTGTACGTAAAAGGGAATTTTGGCTTTGGTTTATTTATATTTACATGAATGTGCATTTAAGTGAATTAATTTTTCTTTTGTTATCTAAACCACAACGCAGTAATGTTTCTATTTTATTTTCCGTGATAAGTATTGTTGCCATTTTATTTTTCAATCAATATTTGTTTTTATTTATTTGGGAAAACTAAGAGTTCCACTATACGATCATAAGCCTATAGTTAGTAGCAATGAAGCTTTCGCTGTGTTTGGGCGGAATCCTGTTGCTGAAACCCATGGTTATTCATGTCCCATGTTATTGCAGGGGAATAAATCACGCCTGAGCTCTACCCACTTCGAGTCCAGAGAGTTTTATTCACACAGCGCTGGAAAGAGAAGCTGACCAGGGGTTACACCAGTTCGAGTCCCGGCCCGGACAGTCTCGGTCGTTGTGTCCTTGGGCAAGACCTACCGCCTACTGGTGTTGGCCAGAAGGGCCGATGGTGCGATATGGCAGCCTCGCTTCTGTCAGTCTGCTGTGGGTACAACTTTAGCTTGCCTCCACCAGTGTGTGAGAGTGTGTGTGTGAATGGGTGGATGACTGAGTGTGTAAAGCACTTTGGTCCCCTAGGGGGGACTAGTAAAAGCGCTATACAAATGCAGGCCATTTACCATTTACCACGATAAGGTGGCGATTCGCGGGCATGTCGCACCGGGAGGAGGCCCGGGGTAGACCCAGGACACGCTGGAGAGATTATATCTCTCGGCCTTGGTTTTCCCCCGGACAAGCTAGAGGAAATGGCTGGGGAGAGGGAGGTCTGGGCTTCTCTGCTTGTTCTGCTGCCCTCGCGACCCGGACCCCGGATAAGCAGAAGAAAATGGACGGATGGAAAAACACAGAATTATTTAAAATAAAACAAATGCTAGTGCTAGCTTTTTGGACCTGGAACCACGTGTTTGTGCAGAAGTCTATGATAAAAATGACCCTCAGATTCCTTGATTTATGATCCCATTACAAAATTGTGTTAGAGGCTCATTGTTTTAAGTCTCACTTGCTTGGGGCACCCTATACACTGTCAAATAAACAACATTTGTTTTGAAAATAATTAAAGATCAACCACTCTATTTTCATTTGCTAGGATTTGCTGGTTTGTAAAAGCTACCAAGTGTCAAAGTGCAAGTCCCAAAAAACTGGACTTCAGTGACCAATAGGTAACATCACAAAATGTAATTAAACTTAGCAAGTACAAATCTAATTTAATTTGCTCTATTTTTGCAAAAAAAAAAACCAGAAGAAAATTGAGCTTCTATAAGGTACTGATTTTTGCCTTCTTCTCCTTCACTCCTGGAGGCATGATGTGTTCAGGGAGATGCGAGGTGAAGAGTCGTGGAGAGGGAAGAAGAGTGTATTCAGCCATCTTGTACTCCAGCCACGGCATCCTCTCCATGTTGTTTGAATATTTAGTCTGATTCCCATCCAGTTCGTGGATGGAAATGATGATCTGCTGAACCCATACAGTGCCTGATGTGGGGAAAGACATTAGAGGTGATCAGTGGATCAGTCTGGCTAGCATAAAACAGCAAATATAAATAATGTATGAAATTTTTCACCAACCTGATTTTGGATAAGTGACAAGGAAGACATCACTGTCTTTTATTTCAAAACTCTCAAGAGAGTCTATGTACTCTGGAGTTGAAAGACTGGCCACAAAATTGTAGTTTTTATGCTTGAAAACACGGTCTCTGATCTGCTCCATACTGGTTCTACATAAGACAGATAAAAAAATATACACAGGAACGAAAAATCTGTGAGTCACATGGTGTTTGTTGATGCTGGGTGAGCAGTGTTGGGGAGTAAGGGAATACTCTGATTTTGATTGCTGGAAACCCAGACAAAACGTGCAATAAGAAGCTCTAATGTAAGCGTCCTGTTAATGTCGGTGGCGTCAGTTACACAATGGACCCAGAGCCAGAATAACAGGGCCAGCAGTGAACGGGCATGAATGGTTTTCTTACTTGGAAACTAAAACACCACTTCATAAAAAGAAAGGGATGGGCGAAACCTCAGTATCTTTGATGTATTATTGCTGTGTGATTTTTATTACAATTACTGAATGCTACTCGCCACCAAGCTAACATTGTTAGCTGGCGTTAGCTGGCGTTAGTTCATAGACTGCAGACTGTTAGGCCATTTCTAAATACTCAAGTACGCCAGTCCTTGTGTTCTTGCTAGTCCAGACTTCATAAGTTTACACGGGAGTCCTCCCGAGAATGCAGTGCGATCGTTCTACAGCAGTGTACTTGATGGCATCACACCTCCAGAGTTTTTACTGCCATCCTCTCTTAATTTAACTGTGGTTAATATTTGCAATGGAAATTATACATGACAAAAAAATTACACATGATGTAGTAGATTTCTTTAAGAAAAAAAGATAATTTAAAAAAAGAAGCACTTTGGCAAAATTCGCTTTTACGTATCATCTGTTTCATAATGTCTGATAACCTTCATTCAGTTGAGCACAATCCCTCCATGACAGAAACACAAGCTTAACCTCTCTGAATAAACATAGTGCACATGTACGCCTGAATACAAATTAGAATATAACCTGATCATTTTTGATCAGATTATCTCCACATTGTAACATACTGTTTTTAGACTTGATGGATAGCATTAGCAACCTGCTAGCTGCAAATAATCATGTGCAGTTCCACATGATTATCAACAGAGAAAAAGAAAACATATTACTGATACAGAAATAGTTTTCTATATGAGGTCACTGCAAAAAGTGGAGCCTTGCCTAATGTGTCCACCATACTGTTACTCGTTTTACATTAAGATTTTGAAAAAATCTAGTTAGCCTTCAGTAATAGTAAAAAAACAAAAAAATCACATAGCAATAGTACATTCATGTAGTTGTAAAAAACATAATGATAAATCAAATCAAATCACTTTTATTGTCACATCACAAGTGCAGGTACACTGGTACAGTACATGCAAGTGAAATTCTTGTGTGCGAGCTTCACAAGCAACAGAGGTGTGCAAAAAATACAATAACATAAAACAAGTAAAATATAAGAATGGCTAAATCTGAGAGTAATAAATATATGTACAATATAAGAGTGTATGCATTACTGGATGTGTATACTAAATATGTTTTTCTACGTGTGTGTGTGTTTATGTGTGTGTGTATACATATTTTACAAATTAAATAGAGTAAACAATAAATAAAATATCTAAAATATACAGAGGTTGGTAGTTGGATATTGTGTAAAACAAGTGGCATTTATATACAGTGTGGAGTGCATAATGTTGAAGTTCCTGGCCTGGTGGAAAAAGCTGTCAGTAGTAATATAATGGCACTTTTTTTTGCTCAGGACCTTCTTGCTGTGCGGCCACAGTGCTAACCACCGTGCCACCATGCTGCCAAATAACAGGTATCCCTTTAGAAATAAACAGTGATACTTCTAAAAACCGTGTATTCCCACACAGCATTTAATTTAACTAGTTTAGGAAGATTTCACTTTTTCTAATAGTTTCACAGGCTAATAGTTTTTAAACAGAATACCACAAACAACATGTATCCCTTTAGAAATAAACTGTGATACTTCTAAAAGCACATATTCACACCTAGCCACACTAGCACTGTATCAACCCCCAATGTTCCTTTAATGCAACTAGCCCTATAATTATCTACTAGTCACAAATACACTGCAACAGTAAGACTTGTTGATTACACATAGATGAGTTAACTACTTTAGGAGCATTTTACTTTTTTCTTTAGCGCTCCGAAAAGACACAGAGGCTAATAGCTTTAAATAGAGCACCACAAACAACAGGTATTCCTTTAGAAATAAACTTTTCTTGTGTTACTTCTAAAAACTACAGATTCTTAACTCTGCAACAGTTAGACAGAGGGGGTTACAGTTAGGCCCCCAACAGTCAGCAAAAGAAGTCATGAAACAATAAAAGAGGCTCCCTTATCAAGAGCATCCCAGCACTCTCACATCCCAACTGTAGTTCCCTTACAAACAGTTCCATTATCTTATCTTATCATGTCAGAGGTCAACTGAAACCATGACCAACCCCCGGGGGGTAATGACACCTCCTAGTGGTCTGGTCTAACCCTTATACATATAAAGACTCTTTCATCATTTGGAACATCAACAGAGTGACCTAAGGAACACAGACACCTCTAACTAAGGAGTGCATGATGACGTCGGTATCAACCATCACGAACAGCTGGAACATCATCCAAGCCACAGCCGCTCTAGGTACGTCTACAGGTGTATGCACCCGATGCACTCATCGTAAAAAGCAATGCTTGCAACCCATCACCTGGTGATGTTGGCGCTAAACGCCTTTCTACAGGAAACATGCTACGGATGTCGAACAGCTCATCCCAGTCAGGTGCAACACTGCTGTTTGCTCGAACTGCCCGAATATTACTTTGACACCTACTACGACGATGTGATGCTGAGGCTCAAGACATTCCGATTCATCCCCACCATATGCCTGTTTGTACGCGCATACACAAACGATGGGACTAAAACACAATTCAGCAGGATTGCAGAACACACCATGACTGAACTGAGATCATCACAACATATAGTATGTGCAATTAACGACAATATTGCACAGCTGATAGAAGCAAGTCATTATGCCCGTTGTGTTAAACCAGCCATGCTTCGCATGATTGGTAACTACTGGGTTGGGAGATACCTGGTTTAATGTATGCTGTTCAGTATTCATTGTCTGTGTGAATGAAATAAAAAGACATGTTAACACCAACATCTTAGTCATTTTTGCTTATACGACTTTGCTTATACAATACAGAAAAGCAACAATACAGCTTGTTTCTCTGCTCCAAGACATCAGAGGGCCTTTCACACGGTAAGCATGTCTGTTATACCCAGTGCATAAATGTCTGTATGTCGGCGCTGATTATTCAAACCCTGTTTAAAATGTGATACATATGTTGTCCAAAAACAATTCCTCTAAATTTGCAAAGTTACTGATTTAAAAATATATTTTCGAATTTTTAGTTGCATGTCAAACATATGATAGACTCTTGAGCATGTTTATATAGCTACATTCACAATGGTATAACCATGCTAAATAAAAGATGCCCAAGCACCAATGCACTCTAATGCAAGCCTCTAAACTGTATGTTGATAAGTGCATGAAGTGTACCTCTACCTCTATAGCTGAAAACAGTTTGTATCTGCACTCTGAAGGTCTGCTGAATTGTTTTTAATATGGCACTTTTTTATGAACTGCAGATGATGAAATCCTCTTTATTGGAGATAGTGTCCTTAAGCTACTGTTGCTCATACTTACTGAGTTCCCTAGCTACCTCCTTACTATGTCAGTAAACGTTTTGAAAAGGAAAGTGTTGTAGATTTAAAGAAACAACCTAATTGAAGCAAAGGCAAAAAATTGGAATGAATTTTATGTGACCACTCATATTAAAGTCAACAACAAGTGAAAATCCAAAAACGGCTCCAATCCTTTATATTAATGATCTCCCTCTCTCTCTCTGTGTGTTTGTGTGTGCCCTCACAGAAGGAAGTTCACAGCAGGAGCTTTTCTCAAACGCATTACCAATCAGTTTTTTTTACAAGAAGTGTAGTTCATACAACAATAAATGGTAAATGGCCTGTATTTATATAGTGCTTTTACTAGTCCCTAAGGATCCCAAAGCGCTTGATCCATCACAGCTGATTTAAATGGATAAATTACCTTCTCAACATGTCTTGAAGTTCTCCAGAGGCCTGGTAATGAACTAATCATGTGATTCAGGTGTGTTGACCCAGGGTGAGATGCATTTGAAGTGGTTAATCCATTAGGGTCTGGAAAAAATAAACATAAAATCCTGGCAGTGTACATGACTCTAGGTGAGATCTTACCACATAACCGGTCCTCTGTTGATGCAATGCAACTTGTTCTGCTTTCCAAGGACACTGACTTCAAAACTTTTGTCCATAACAAAGTTTTTTCCAGTCTTATTGCAGACCTTAAAGATATGGAAGAGACAGGGGTTCTGGTAGAGGATGGAACCATAATGAAGGCAGCTTTGATAGCCATCTTAGGAGACAATCTGGGCTCCCACTGCATAGGTGGTTTCACTGAGAATTTCAGCTGCAGCAAACATTTTTGCAGATAATGCTTAATTGACAGGGAAGCTTTATCAATGATCCACTATCACTTGGACAAAAAAGAACAGCTGATAACTATAAAGACAGTGTTGAGGTCCTATCTACAAGTTACCACTTGGTTGTGAATGGAATTAAATTTGACTCTGTGTTTAATTCACTGAAGTCTTTCCATGTGTGCTCTGGGTTACCTCCATGTTTGGGCCATGATTTATTTGAAGGAGTGGTTTCCAGTGACTTGTCGCTTTGTATTGATACCCTTGTGCAAGTGGAAGGGCATTTCACATACAACCAGTTAACAGAGGTGTGGACTCGAGTCACATGACTTGGACTCGAGTCAGACTCGAGTCATTAATTTTATGACTTTAGACTTGACTTGAAAAAATGTTCTAAGACTTGTGACTTGACTTGGACTTTTACACCAATGACTTGGGACTTGAATTGGACTTGAACCGGTTTACTTGAAAAGACTTGATATTTCACCCCAAATATAAAATTTAACATGCATATTATGTAGAGATTGAAAATGTGACGTCATTCACGGGTAGAACCGCAAAGGATTCTGGGAACTCGTGGCAAGCGGTACTAGCACACGCAGGCTTTCAATTAAAATCAGTCACACAGCGATAAAAAGAAACACAAAAATGTCAAGAAGCTGTTGTATTATTAACTGCAATAGCCGGTCGCATGACAGCCACGGGAAGCCGACGGGTAAAGAGATCGGTTGTTATCGGATTACGTCGTGGAAGAGAAATTGTTCGAGCCATGTTTCCGAAGTAACAAAGAGGCGACTGGATTGCAGCCATTCAAAGATCAAATATAACGTCCTAGAACACTCCAGCTCACAGGTTAGTCTGCTCCAAGCATTTACACAAAGGTCAGTCTGCTGTTGTAGTTAATACGTCATTTTTCTTAACATAATTGGTGATATAGGTTACAAGCAAGTCTGGCGCTGAACAGAAATTGTCGCGCTATGCTCCTTTATTTATTGTGCATAAATAGTAAATTATCCTGACACAATATTGCGTTTCGCTTCTGTTATTATGGTACATTGACAAAAACATATACTTTTATTCACAGGATAAAACAGGTTTTTTGTATCACTAATTGCCCAGTACGATTACAGCATACAATATTATTGTCACTGCTACATTTCTGTGATGCTACCAGAAATTATTTCCACTACTAATTAATTACCGTTGAGCTCAAAGGTTATATTAATAAACGGTTAACGAATGTGTATTTATGAAGACGATTTGTGAGACTGGTAAACTTATGATACGTACGATGGTCTTTCGTTCTACACGGTGCATTTCAAGGTCCTGCACCCATCCGTCGGTAAACTGTACCTGGGCTTGTTGCAGTGACCGGAAGTTACTAAACTTCATGAGTGTGTGCACTCACTCCAAGAACCGTATAATTATAAATAAGCATATAAATATGCTAAGATGAGATAGCTGACTTCATCTAACTAGCAAATGTTTTCCAGGCTACGTTGGTGATACAGTTTTTTTTAATGTGTATGATATTTTTGTCATGCGATTTTAAAGCTGGTCCTACAACCGCATCCAAGAATAACATGCAGCGTATCTCAGAACTGTCGGTGAAAATTATTCTTGGAGCTAAGTTTAATTGAGCTGCATTTTAAAGAGGTGCAATTTCACAATTTGTGTATATTTTCTAAGTTCACTATTTTGTATGTGTTGAGAAAAACACAGATTTTAAAATTACATGGTCTAATATTTACATTTAGCATATAACTGCAACATTATTTTTTCGTTTGTTTTTTTTAAAGACTCGAAAGGACTTGAAATTCAAAGTTTCAGACTTGTGACTTGACTCGGACTTTTACACCAGTGACTTGAGACTCGACTCTGACTTGCCTGACATTACTTGAGACTTGACTTGAGACTTGAGGATAAAGACTTGAGACTTACTTGAGACTTGCAAAACAATGACTTGGTCCCACCTCTGCCAGTTAAACAGAGCAATTGTACAGTTCAAACACGTAGGAAGTGATGCTTTAAGTAAGCCATGTGGGGTGAAAACAGGGCAGAGGCTGGGGGAGTTCAGCAGCACAGAACTGGTGTCTTCTGCGACTTCTGCCTCTGTACATTGGTGGAAAGATAAAACATCCTGTGGATAGTGAGGTTTGGTAGTTATGCCTTAAACTTAGAGACATTGTTGATCTTGTATGTTCCCCCAAAATAAGTCACAATGACATTGCCTACCTAAAGATACTGATAGAGGACTATATACATCTGCGACACAGTAGGTTTCCTGACAAAGCTTTAAAAGCTAAACATCACTATTTGTTACATTATGCAGAGCTTATCCTTCACTTTGGACCACTCATTTGTTTGTGGACCCTTAGATTTGAGAGCAAGCACTCATATTTCAAAGCATGTACAAAAACAGTGCACAAGTTTGTCAACTTATGCAAGACTGTGACAGAACGGCATCAGTTACTGCAGTCCTACCTCTCAGTGAGCCAACTGTTTCCACCTACAGTTCAAAGAACTGTCATTCAAGAAGCTGTGGCAAAAGCAGGCTGCACTAATCAGACCACTTTGGATGTGTCAGCAGTTGTCTACAAAGGTACCAAGTATGTCGAAGGCTATGTTTCCATTGTAGATGACACTGATGATGGCTTGGTTTTTGGGAAGATAGCTGTTATACTTGTTAATGATTCTGAATTGTACTTTGTGCTCGAGTTGCATCACTCAGTACTTCTCACTGACCTTGGACTTCACTACTTACACTTTAATTGTCACATGTATTGGCTCACCCTACAAATCAATGAACTCAGTCCACAAAGCAAGATCAGGGTTCAGTGCAGGTCAGTCAAGTTCCTTCACACCACACACGCTCATCCATGTCCTTGTGGACCCTGCTTTGTGCATTGATTTGGTGGTGTGAGCCAGTATTTTGGACAAAGTTTATATAAAGGCAGAAGTGTGGGGCTTGATATTATATTTATTACAATTCAGTTTATTTGTAAGGTGCCAACTTCACATTGTAGGTTTAAGACCCTACAAAAAATAACTAAGAAAACCCAACACTTGAGTATATGTTGTCTGGCATGATATGGATATGACATAATATCGTTATTGTTTGTACAACCATCTGAGAAAATACATGTATTACATAGTTTAGTAAAAACAAGTGCTTCCTCAATGAAAATATGTTTTCAGTTCTTTTCAGTTTTTGACTTTGGAAATGTGTATTTCTGCAGAGGAAAATCAGAACAGAAATGAAAAAGTGGTGTGAAGCACATGAATTATATTTTGTGTGTGTGTGTGTATATATATATATATATATATATATATATGTGTGTGTGTGTGTGTTTTTATATAAAAATACATATAAATGAATAAATGATACTTTTTTTTTCATACAATACAATTTTTTTTGGAACCCTCCAGTCTCTTACAGTATGTTACTGTTTCCTGAAATTACGGTAAATTACAACCTGCTCAACAGTAAATGACCGCCTGTAGGAACACGGTATCCTCTAACAGAGATGAATATTTTTGGTACTGATGATGCGTGTTAACGGTAAGTTACTGGTAAATATGTTGCAGTTAATTACCTTGCAGTGGGCTTACAGTGACATACCATGAATAAACGGTAGTATACCAATTTCTTAATCACTGTATGATGTTACTTTGTTGACGTAATTTACGACATAACGACATAAAAAAAAAGCTACAGTGCGTTACCATAATTTGTCCAAGAGTATTATACCACAAGAGCAAAAAACTGTATCATCCTGCAGAACGGTAAGATATCGTAACACGGCGTCACCGTATGACGCTGGCAACAGTGACGCCAATATGTTACCACAAAGTGGAGAAAAAAAATGTCTAACACTGTACTATAGGAATCTGTATTTAAAATCAAATCTTATCAGAATTCTTGCTTGAAAATTTGAGTGCTGCATCCAGAATGAAACCTGTATTTAAGACTCAATGCTACTGAACCAACCAGAAAGCGAGTGCCAAAAACAACGCGAGTGCACATTTGCACTGTTTGAATGTGACTCTCAGATTAAGAAATGTGTTAAAATGTGTTACACTAAACACAAGCAGTACAGAAGAAAAGGTTGATCCAATCAAAAATATATTATTGTGAATGTAATATTGTAAATGACGGACATTGAACAACTGGTTTTACAGTTGTTCAATATGGGAATATTTCAGAGAAGTAGAATTTCTCTATCACGCATCTTATGAAGGACTTCATATCACCAATGCAGGCAACTCTACTTGAAATAGAATAATTAGCTATGGCACAGACAGAACTGATAAGATTAAGTCAGCAAACAGTACTATAAGGAGGAAATCATAAACCTAAAAAGAAATTTAACTGGTAAGAAAATCATTCAACAGTCCAAAGCATTCTCATATTGCTGACCTGATCTCAAAGCATATTCACCAAAAAGTCTAGATGCATGCTCAGCCCTTCAGTTAAGGAAATCTCTAAAAAGTTGATTCTCTTCATCAGGACGTAGCATTTTCAAATTTGCATAATGATTGAAATTTCAGTCATTATGCAAAAGTACTGTTCAACAAGTGGAAGCATGCAGTCAGCTTAGACTGAGAAATCACTTGGATGAGTGAAAAAAACATTTCCCCCACCAGGAAAGGTTACGTATAGATAAAAAGTCAACTTTTTTGAGATATTCACCAAGAAGTTGGACACTGGCAAAGGCACTGCACTCACACTTTCAAGCAATTCACCCACTCCAGACTCTTCTCCTATAAATGCTATTTAATAAACACTCATAATTGCAATTATCATAGTCCCATTAGGAGCAATGTTAGACTTTTTTTAAATTTATTTACATAAATTGCAATTAATATGAATTACTGAAATAATTTACTCCAAATACTCCTTGGTCATGCCTCTGCGGTTTATCTGAAATGGTAAAACACTTCCCATTCTCCGAACCACATTCTCAGTGTCCTAAGCTTTTTTAATAAATCAGTCTTTTTGCAAAACATTGAACAGTTTTAACAGCACCTGTAACCGGAAGGTCGCCGGTTCGATCTTGGACAAGACACTTTACCCTACCGGCCTACTGGTGTTGGCCAGAGGGGCCGATGGCGCGATATGGCAGCCTCACTTCTGTCAGTCTGAATGAATAGTGGCATTGTAAAGCGCTTTGGGTGCCTTGAAAAGCGCTATATAAATCCAATCCATTATTATTATTATTATGTTAAACACAATTTAGTAACTCATAGTAAATCATTAAAACCACTATGACTCACTAAAGCACATGTGTGCAGTGACAGCCAGGTTGAGTCAGAGGTTGATAAACAACAAAGCATCGAAACAGTCTGATAATATATGTAAACAAGTTCTCAAGACAGAAAACTACAAAAAGAAATTCACCTGAACCTGCATTACTTTTAGAACCAGTTTAACAGTAGAAAGGTAAGTGTGTATTACCTGGGTGTTTGCAGCAAGACAATAGAGTGAATGACCCTACAACCTCTTATCATCATGCACATGCTTTGAGCCTCCACAATCCTCCACAACATTGCCACAGCATTATTTGCTGAAAAGATAACCTGGAGAGTCCAAAGTGCTGTTTCTCTCTGATATTGTTAGACCTTCAGAGAGTCACAGATCTCCAACTCTGGCCCTGATGAACTGGGAGACTTTACACTCAGCCTACTTCTACAACCACCTCTAGATTACTTGATTCTACTTCATAATTACTTCATTAATTATTTGGAACTAAATATGGTACACTAATAGCAGAGGGAGGGGGCAAGTTTTGAATTAGCTCAAGAAACCGTGTCAAATCTGCTCAATTAATAGTTCGTTGATGGAAAGAAAATGCATTTGCATCATGTATCATGTATCATGATCAATCAAGTCCGTGCAAGTAGGAACCTCACCAAACAAACAGCAATACAAAATCAGTTCTGACAGCTCATTGCATTTATCTACCGGCAAATGAGACAGGAATTTATCCAGAATACAAAGAGACTGAAATTTTTTTCAAATGACCAAACTGTCATCAGGCTCTGGTATTTCATCAATTTCAGAAAATTACGGAAGTGAAGAAACAAACAAGGGTGAACGGTGTCCTTAACACACCGACTAGAATTTTGGTCACTTGCATAATACGGTTTGAGTAAGTTTACATGACAGCGCTGAACCAACTTTTTTCATTTTAGGGTTGAAAGTAATTTAGATCAAAAGTTTCTCATTAAGGACCTGTGAGGGCCTGTAAATGGGGGACGATACAGAGATGCCACAACTGGCAAAAAGGCTGAAACTTGGTCCCCACAACAAAACTGACAACTGGCAATCCAGCTACAAGCAATGAAAGTCTAAATCCATTTACAAACTCAACCAAGTTTTTTTAGGTGGCTCGGAATAAACCCCTTTATTTTTTATTACAGCAAGGGCCGACGCACACTATGTCAAAACCCAAGCTCATTAGGGCTGAAACCTATGTTTTCTTTCAGCCAAAATCAGCCATGGAAGACCCTCTTCCCAGTCTCTACTAAGCTTTATACAATAGGTACGCTAAAGAGACTTTAGCATCTGGGGAAACCTTTCCAGAGCACCCCTGTCTTTGTGCATGGTATCTTGATGACCAATTATGGTTTATGTGCAGGGTTTACAAAACTTCGACGAACATGTGAGATGAAAAATTTGAACTCTGACCACTCACACCGAAACAAACTGAGTTAGAGCTGTCACCAATGCCTTGCTCGTCACTGACCTCAGTGGATATCCAGCAGGAATTTTGGTACTTTGACACATCACTGCAAGAAGATACTTATTTCCAGATGTTGAGGGCAGCAAATGACCCACACAGTATAGAACAAGATGTTCAAAAGGTTCCAATATCAGAAGAATAAGTTGTAATGTGCTAGCTTAATGGTTTGATGAGCTTATGCAAAGGAAAGGGAGGGTGGTAAACCCTCCCACTACTGAGGAGCGGCAGTCACCTGTGTCAGACTCCTTTGAGAAGGGCAGCACACTATACAGGTTCACTATATAGAGTCATAGTCTCCTGAATCACTCAGAATTTAAACTGGGACTTTATCCCCACTCCCACCAAGAAACAAAACATCCCTAATAAAAGGACTATAGCATCCCAAACAGCAGGAATTAACAAAACATCAATCAGGCATTTTGCACATTAACTCATGTAACAGGTGCAGAGGCTGCAGCGGTTTAATATAAGATGTAATTCTTGTGGTTTTGGCCTGCAACCTTGCAATTCTGCCTTCCAGGGACCTTTCATGGTAAATGGCCTGTATTTATATAGCGCTTTACTAGTCCCTAAGACCCAAAGCGCTTACATATCCAGTATCCACCCATTCACGCACACATTCATACACTGGTGATGGCAAGCTACATGTAGCCACAGCCACCCTGGGGGCACTGACAGAGGCGAGGCTGCCGGACACTGGGCCACCGGGCCTCTGACCACCACCAGTAGGCAACGGGTGAAGTGTCTTGCCCAGGACACAACGACCGAGACTGTCCAAGCGGGGCTCGAACCGGCAACCTTCCAATTACAAGGCGAACTCCCAACTCTTGAGCCACAATCGCCCCTTTCATGACAGTAATTGCAGGCATTGGTTTTTATTAGACTTTTATCAAGCTTAGAATCGAATTTAAATGAATGAACCTTACCTGACCTTGAGTGATTACCCACAACAACCGAACCAGAACTCTCCTCACACTGTCTCTGTCTTTACTTTTCACGCTGGAATATTTTCTCTTACGGAAAGTGCAAACTCATCTGCCGGTGTTCCAGATTAACTGGTGTCACAGATTAACTGGTAACGGGTCAAACAGATGTTTGTAGTAGACATCATCCAGGAAATAAACAGTTAATATTTTCATCTGTGACATTTGTCAGGTTCATTTAAACACACTCCGTCAATCCTATTGCTCCTGACCAAGTTGTGTCAACTAGCTCCAGCTGTGGCCAAGTGCCATAGCCTACAGCCAAATTAACATCTGACTTGCATCTGCACCTGGCTCTATCACCATGTTTTAATTCCCGTTTCATGCGAAATAAATTTTTAGCTTTTAATGTTTTAGGTTCCTGCATCTTGCAAATAAGCCTTTAAACTAAATTAAATGGTACTAAGTATTTATTTTTGGCCTACATCAGTAAAAAATGACAAATTATATACATA